TATAACAATGTTTATATTTCTTGAGTATTTAAAAATGATTGATTAATTTTTTGTAATGTATATATTATATTAATAAATACTCATATTTGAAAATTGCTTATCCGAATGGATTTGTCTACCAATTATTTCGGTATAATCGATATTATATTATATAATTCTTTAAAAATAAATCAAAAAACAAGAAATTTTATAAATTGATTATTTTATTTAAAATATAAAATTATGAAATTTTTTAAATATTTAAATATTTTAATTAAATCATATTGTGAAGATTTAATTTAAGTGAAACATTTTGTATATTTGTATATCGTCGTCATCAATTCATATTAGATTTTGCATTAACTCGATTAATAAAAAAAAAAAAATAATTATTACATAAGTACTATATATATTATATATAAAATATAGAATAAACTGATTTTTGTTCCAAAAAAATTCATAATAAATCAATAATTTGTAAAAAAGAAAAATATGAAATAAAAATCTGTATATATGTATATATAATATGTATATATATATATATTCTTCGGTATAAAGAACATTTTTTTGATATAAAAAAATAACAGAAGAGAATAAAAAAAAAAAAAAAAAGAATTGCCTTATAAAAGCGAAAAATTATCGAGCAATCATAATTGAAATCATAATTGAGAGATCGTGATACATGATCAATTCGGACTTCGTAATTGACTAGACTGTGATCTATCTAGATCAGCGTAGCTGAAATGCGACGAAAAGGCATCTTCCACTTCGCGCAATGAGATATTAATGGAAATAATTATATTAATAAAATGTTATTTCCTAAAAAATATAATAAAAAATATCAATGAATATTGATGATGAATAAAAAATAAAGAAATAAAATAAAGAATAAAAAAAAAGAAAGAAAAAAATGATTAAGATCATGGAAAAACATAAGAGTAATTACTCTTTTTAAAAATTCCAGTTTTATCTTCTTCTCCTATTTAATGTAATTTTCAATGAACTTAATTAACATGTTTAAATACAGGTGTTTTAAATACAGATTAATGTATTCATGGAACACCTTTAAAGAGTCATTTGTAGAATACAAACAAGGACATTGATATAAAAATATTGATTGATTTATTTATTCAGTTATAAATAATTAAAGTTTGTATTAGATGAAACAAGACAAAGTTAGAATGAGATGACAATATGAGAATTTATCTATCTCATTCTAGCTCCATCTCATTTCTAACGCAAATTCAAATCCTTTATAATTTAATAAATAAGTCTCAATCAAAATTTTTGTATTTGTTTGATCTCTAGAATCAAATTTTTAAAAATGTTGTATAAATATATATATACGTATACATACAATTAGCGAAAGTAATAATAATAATAATATTATAAAATTTTATCAGATATTAAAGTTTACATATTTTAAAAGATAAATATATTGGAGAAAATAAGAAATTATAGAATTTTGCTTATATTTGTTGTCAACTTAATTTAACATTTTGTTGTTTTAATTTATAATCTTCCACTAATTATACGTATGCTTTTGTGTATATATGTTTATCTATATACAGTGCGGCAGTTACGATTGTAAAATCTACAAAACAGTAAGAAGATAGTATGTACAATCAATTGTTTCCGAGTCGAGCGACTCGAGGCGAACTGTCAAAAGCGGATATGTATCACTAAAGTGGCCTATTTTTTTCTTGCTACATTTCTTTCCGATCTCACTTTTGTAGTCCACCTCATTTCTTATAACTCGTATTGTACACAGTTGACATATCGCAAATTGTGTATATTGAGTTAAGAAAGTATTTAGACGCTTGCAAATATGAAGCATAATGTGCACAGATCACATAAGTTATGCTGAAACTTTTGAAATATGATTCCAAGTTATATAATTTGAATAAATGTAATAAACTGCAGGTCGTTATAAAATAAATTTCTTATTAAATTATTCCTTATTATTAAATAGTATCTTTTCATCTTTTAAATTTGTTTTTATTAAAACATAAAATTGATTATTACTTTAAATTCTACAACATGACACTGATATATCAAAATCAAAAATTGTCAAATTTTATATTGAATATTAAAAGTTATGTTTTAAAATTTTTAATTTTAGCAAATTTTATGTTATTATAAATATCTACAATATTATGCATCTTATTGTTAATTGTATAACATAATTAATATTATTAAATTTGTCATAACCAGAACAATATTTTAAAAATTTCAGCTTAACTATTTATAGCATTTTGTTTTTACATCTGCAAAAAGTATAAGTATATTTTTACCGCTCATTATAGTTCATTTCATATTTAAGTGAAGACAAGGTGGTTCTACACACTAGAGAGCATTGGTATACAATGAGATACCTACACATTGTGGAGGTCTTTACTTCGAATATAAATAAGACTCTCATGGCATACGCAAATGTATGAGCACAAACAAAAAAATAAAATAAAAGAAAAAATATAAAGAAAGGAAGTAGAAAAAAAGAAATAGAAAAAGAAAAATGGTTGTTGAATATGGCCTCATATCTCGTCTATATTACTCTATTTCATTTTCGTGCTCAGAGGCTCGCTTATTCAACACTATCTTATTCACGCGTAAACACATGCATGCTTCATACTGTCATCATTCTTTCACTCTTTCATTCTCTCTCTTTCTCTCTCTCATGTCAATAAAAACTGTAAATTATCAACATATTGAGTTTCAGCATGAGATCAGCATATCGTAAATATTTTTAGTTATTTTCGAATAAAAAATTGATTGAAAAAAAGATTTTTTTTATCCGAAAGATTTAATTTTGATTATGTAAATTGTAGTACAATAGGATATAGATACTATTATATATTTAATATATGTCCTTATACAGGATCCAGCTGAATAAGCAGACATAGAGTATTCTTTATGAAAAAATAAGAAAAAAAAAAAAATCAAATTGATTCTAAAATTTATTTTTTTCTAAAAATTAAATGAAATAAATAAAATTAATTCTTTATTTTCTTTTATATGTAGAATAATTTTCTATTGATAATTCATTCATTCCAGAAATTAATCAATGTCATTTGTTTTCAAAAAATTTTCAAATTTGATTTTTTCAAAAATGAAACTTCAAAAAAATTTTGTTTTTTATTTTTTTTTTTCTTATTTTAGCTTATGGTCATTTTACATGTTTGCCTGAATGAAATATATGTCGAAGCCAATTCCCATAACATTTTTAGATATTCTTTGAAATTGAAATGATTTCCATATTTTATTCTCAATATGTTAATATTTGCATAAATAATGGTGCACCCGAGAGCCAGACTAGTATAATAAGCCACGTTAATGCATCTTTACAAATATCTTGTACTCACTGTCGCAACGCTAATACTGAGATGATTTCAGTTTTCTGACAAAAATTTTTTAATTGATATTTCATTCTATAGGATATTCTATTTTTTATTATTACCTTAAATATCTCTATCAAATGTGATTAACAATGCATTATAGAGAAAAATCATTACTTTTTAAATTTGTTATTATCAAAATTACCAATTCTTTTAAGATTATTTAAAGTTAAATAAAATGTATTATAAAATACATTTAAGATTATTTATGATTTCATGAAATTATTCTTAAGATTATTAAATTTTTTATATTTTTTTAATTTTTTTAATATTTTTAATATTATTTTATAATTTTTAATATTTTTTATATTTAATTTTTTTATATTCTATTATTTTTACAAATAACTGAGTAAAAAGTTTATAAATTCAATGTAATATAATGTATATTCTATAAAATGAAATATTGTAAATAAAAAAAGATACTTTTTTCTCTGATATTTCTTTTTAACAAGAGATATTAAAGGTGATCAATCATATTGTTCTGTAAATTGCAAAACATATATAAATATATTGTTTTAACCGTCCGCACTTAAAATCGATGATTGCCGAAACGCGGTGGACTTACGACACTCTGACTGTCAGGTACAAAATGCACAATAACGAAAACGTGTCACACTTCGTAGCCTCTCGCGGCGGTTTTCTCTACTCGTCTCACAACTAATTTCCATATCAGAAGCCAGATTAGCTTCGATAAGTTAACTTAAACGGAGAAAATACAAAATACAAAAAGAAAAATTAGAAAAAGAAAAATACAGAGATGGTACAATCTCTACCTTGATTCCATCGCGACCATGAGAATGGACCATCGTGTATCGAGGGATCATACACGTTGCCTCGACGCGGGGTCATTAAGCACCTTTCGGTAGGTAGGCCGATCGGAATGCAATTTTATCGCTCTTTTTTTCTTTTTCTTTTTTTTTTTTCTTCACCGCCTAATTGCACACGTGCTCCTCTCGTTTGTGTCGACACAGCTCACACTTCACGTGACAACACCAGACAAATCGACAGTTGCATTTTTCTGTCACATCTCGGACTCTCGTTTGGTAACCTCGACCGCAGCATAATAATCGACATCCATCCAATCCAAGAGATGTTCGATTGCATATCCTTCCTCTTGTCCCGGGAATACCGAGCCTAGAATTAGATATAAAAATGTATTACAAAAAAAATCAAATGTTTATTGGAGAAATTTATTAAATCAGAGAATTGTACTTTTAATTTGTTATCTAAAATAACTTTCTTTATTGAATGGACATATAAAGATTAGATATAAATTAATAGTTTTCTATATTTAAATTTCTATCTATATTAATATCTTCCATAATTGCAACAAAAAATATAATGCAAAAACGAAATTAAATGAGATAAAATAATAATCTAAATGAACATTTTAATGAAATTTATCTCTGAATATTTACATTCATTAAACAATAATTAAATCAATCACAATAATTAATTAATAATTATAAATAGCTATTTTTAAAAGTTATCAACAATTTCTTTAGTAGCTAATTTTATATATAAAGAAACTTTATCAAAATAATAGAACTCTATAATTTGAACAACAATAAAAGATTTCTAAAATAAGATTTTCTCACGTTATATTTTTTTCGCAATAGTCAGGACTATCTTCTAGATATACTAGATCCGTTTTATTAGGTCGTTTGAGATCTGGACGGGCAGGCCTCAATCTCGCTGGTCTTCTTCCGCCACGTTGTGCCAGTCGTACCAAAGCTGCGCCTTCGTGTAATGCTGCTAATGCTGCTCCAGCTACCCTAAATGCTGGTAATTTTCTCCAACAAACACGTACGCTGCATGAGCCAGACATTCCTTGGATAATAAAATAATAAAGTTTAGAAAAGCAAAAGAAAATAATTATAAAAATAATGTAATATAAAAAGAATGATATAATCTAGATACTTAGAATTTTTTTTTGTCTTATGATTTTTAATAATATAACAGGATGGAAGATAAAATAAAATACAAAGTTTTTAATATATAAGATTATTTGTAAGAATTAAAATATATTTTTATCAAAATAATGTTATTAAAAATAATAGTAAAAGGATCCAAATCCGTAGTAAAGGATCCAATTTATATTTTAAAATAAGATTTAATAATATTTTTTAATTTAATCTAAATATTTCCATTCATTTTTGTAAATTTAAGAACATATTATCTATCTTGTTATAGTTTCATAATATTTAAACAAATATTTTATATTATTCTATGTCATATGATATGATATGATTCTATTTCTGATATTTCTATATTTTTTAAACCAATGTAATCTTTTCATATCAATTTAAATAACAATAGAAGAAATAAGCAAGGAAATACACTATAAGTTCTACAAGCCTAGTAAAACGAACATCACATTTCATCTTTTCATGGTATATTTGGAAGCTGAAACAGTCTCGAGAGAGATTCTTCTACCCATGGATCCATGTATACATGAATGCAATGAACCAACAGTCAAGCCAGGAAAGGGAAAACAAGGAATTGGTGAAATTCTAAGTCGTTAAAGCGTGAGGAACGAAAAATAAGAGCATAGATAGAGGGTTTTATCTGTGAACGCGTTAATGACTTACCGTGACACTTGCATACGCGTTGCATTCTTGAGCGGACTGCGCGCCTGCCAGCTTCACTATCGTGTTTCCTCATTAGCTGGCCAGCCAGCCCTTTCGGTCCATGTAGCACACCCTCCTTTACAGGTTCTTCGCCACTGTCTGACCATTCTCGCGAGAACTTCTCTCCAAAGTGGATATCCTGAACAAGAAAAAATATTTTTAAATGAAAATTTAATTTTTTCATTATAAATTAAATCTGTAATACTATAAACTATTATATAATGTTTTCAAAAATATGATATTTTTAGCATATAAATAATGACTATTTTCTGATAATATTTTAAATAAAAATCCGTGATGATAGAAAGTGATAATACAAAAGTGATAATACAATTAAATATAATATTGTTTCTCTTGTTTTTAAAAATAAAATTTGATTTTGAATTTTTATTATTATAATTTATTAGAAATTACAAGATAATCCTTTTGAAATATTTATTATTTCCTCATAATCAAATTTAATAAATTTGAAATATGTTAAAATTATGCATTATTATTAATTTAATAGATATTTAACATTCAATTTTTTTCTAAACTGATAACTTTTTGATCTTCATGGCCCAATATTTTTTATAGAAATGTCGAAAAAATTATTTTTAAATATATTTGCAAAAATTGTATGTATTTCATAATCTATTGAAAAATTACTCATTATTATGTAATATATTTGTAATATATTTGTAATATATTTGTAATATATATGTAATATATTATGTAATATATGTATTATGTAATAAGTGTATATTATATAGTAAGATGATAAAATAGTGATAGATTAACAATAAATTAAAATTCATTTACTATTTTTAAAAATTAATTATTTAATTTTTCAAACTTTTATTAAGTAGCATAAAGAATATTAATAATCAATATCTTTATTAAAGAGATTAAATAAAAACATTTAAATTTATTATTCGCTTATTAGTTTAGGCGGGAAAAGAGGATTTTTCGTCATAGAAAAATAATTCTATACCATTTTATATGATAAATTGAACAAATTACTATCATAATAAATATGATTATAGTTTAATATAAAAATTTATGTATATCTTTTTACTAAAACTATTAAATATATCTTTTTATTATATTCATCGCGTGTATAAGATAACCCCACCAAGAATAATACATGAATATTCTTTTCCTAAATTCAAAATATTAAAAATTGAATCAAATAATCTTTGTAAACTTATTAATATAACAAATCATGATTACCTGCTTTAATAATCTTTTTTTTTGTGCGATTCAAATGAAATCACAGACATTACACTTCTTTTTTTTATTTCGATTAAAATTTTAGAAGGTAAAAATTCCAACAGAAAGCGCCATCTAACGGCGATTTATCGACGAGAGGTATAACGGTAGCTACAATATTTTTTAGCCAAGTTCGAGACACAAGGTCGGCAAACATCATTATCTAGAAAATCTGTCAATGGGTTGGATTGGTAGACGAAATATCCCATGGGATATGATGCCGCGTCGACTCGTTACAGAATCCATGTCCGGAACTTGATTAAAGGCTAGAGGCCGCACAAGTAGATGAGTAGGTAATCCCGAAGGTAAAGCAGCGCCACTTTTCCGACACTTTTCGCTCCTCTTCCTGCCACGTGAGTTGCTCGAGAGCACGTGTCTCCACCTTCCGTCTTTTCTTTCTTCTTTTTTGTTCCTGATCATCTGTCTAGCCCGCCTTTTTTTCTCGCTGCGCGCTAGTCTTTTCTCTGTTGTCTTTTCTCACGCTTTCCAGTCTTTGTTTTTCTCTTCTTTTCTATTTTATTTCTTGCTTATTTTCTTGTGCCTAATTTTTTGCTATTTTTTTATTTTTTTGTTTTCTTTATTTTTTTTTCTATTTTATCTATTTTTTTGTTCTTTTATCTTGTTTTTGTTTGCGAATTTTTATTTTTATTATTTTTTATGTATATATCTTTTAGAATAGGGGATTTTTTTTTTTTACTAATTTAAGTCTAACTTTTAATTTTATTAATAATTTGTTTTTTTCTTTCAATATTTCGTTAATTTTTGTTTGATATCCCTTCATTGATCTGCTTTATACATATTTTCAATTTTTTTCTTCTCATTTTTTCTATTTTGTTCATATCTCAAATGTCTTTTTCTTATTAATTCTATTATATGATTCTTTAAATTTTTCTTGTTTTCATTTTTTTTTATTCTTTTCTTTGATATTCTATATCATTCGTCTTTTATCCTTATAATCCTTAAAAACTTTCCTACTGCCTTTTACTTCCCTTATTTATTTTCTTTTTCAATCTTTTTCTACATCACTCTCTCATCAATTTCTTTTATCATTCACGATTTGTTCTCGAGTTTTGTCTCCAATTGCCCTTTAGTTCTCCCACCTTCTCATCCCTCTCTATCTACTATCATTATATCTATCTTTCATTCTCTCACTCTTCTTTCTCATTGTAGGTATTTATGTGTGCATCACTCACATGCAAGTTACGTGACCGATATGTCGGGCTGTGTGCGGGGACAGGAGGTGGCGGGTTGTTGCAACTTAACAAGCTTAGCCCCCTTAATCCCCTTGTAAGCTAGCAATGTCTACAAGGGGTCAGCCGTACGCATGAAATGCATCCGTTTACAGGACGAGCTTTGTCTTCGTTCCAGGGTTAAGGTTTACGTCGACTGACCGTGGAGAGATCGAGACGACAAATTGGGGATGCCCGTGCGGGGCAGTGCTTCCCCCGTGTACTTACAAGGGAGGCCTCTCTTCTGAAGGGTCAACAAGAGTGAAGTATTATTTTTTGTTTTATTTTGTATTTTCATTTTTTTTTATTTTTCCTATTTTAGATTTTTATAATTATAATTTTATCTATATTATTTTATTCACAATTTTTAAGTTCTTTTAATTAATATATCAAGTATTGATTGAAAAATGAAAATTTTGTTTTTGTTTTATTTCATATTTTTGTTTTTTATTATTTTATATACGTTTTTTTATATTGTTATATATTATTTTATTTTATATTTTATTTTATCAAAAGTTATTTCAAACTTAAATAATATTTCAAAAAATATATTGATGTATGATATACAAAAATAATTGGCTTTAAAATATTTTTTTTTATTAAAAAAGTGTGAAAGTTTTTTATTAAAAAAAAGTTCAGTTATCTATATTTTATATTTTTTAAAGATATATAATTTCTTGACTAATATTTTTTTATTTTTTTATAGTAAAAATTTACACAATAAACTAATTCAAATTCCTTTGTTTTAAATTTATATCTTTACAATACATATCTTTTATAAAATAATAATTTTTCAATTTGTCATACATGAAAAATTTTTTAAAAGGATTATTTCTCAAACATAAAAAAAAGAATAGTAATCTTAAAATCTCTGAAAAAGATAAAAAATATAATATATAATAATACATAAAAATATAATACATAA